AGAAGGGACCCGGATGACACTACCCTCTAGCCTCGTTCCCGTGCACTTTTGACCGCAGAAAGGTGCCCAACACTGGAGGTGCGTACCCATGACATCGTCCATGCTAGGATCGTCCTCGGTGAGTGTACAGTTGTCTTCAATATAGACGATGGAAGAAGTTGCTTTTCAGGCACAAGATAATATGCTTTCTGTCATCCAGAAATTTCTCTCAAATGCCCCACCATCGTGCGATGTGGAGATCAGTGTTAAATGTAAGCTGTAATCTATTGAACCCCCGAAACCTCACGCTTTGGTGGAACACTGTGAGGCAGCCAGATGGTTGGAGCGCTTGTTCCAGACTCGTGACCACTACCTCCTTGCCTTATTTGCGCTACCCTACCTGCTAAAAAGAGAGGCAAGGCAATAAGCAAGGTACAGTGCTTTACTTGTGAGGCTCCGACCATCTCTCCGCCCAGCCGTTTATGGCAGACTGTCTGTAAAAGCCCAATTAGTTTCAGGGAAACCAATGCGCTGCATAAATAGGTAATTTGCTTTCGCGCCCACCAAAGAGCCAACCGCTTATCACCTAGACCTCAGAGACCCATGCCATGCTATTGAGTTCTCTCGCCCGCTCGTCGTTTTCTGGTTTAGCCCCCACGCTATTCAACTCCGTCACCTACGAAACGCGGTCGCAAGTATGACATGCAGAAGTATCACTAAGGAGGTAAACTCTAACAATACCCGTCGTCCTTTGAGTCACTGGGCCTCATTTTTAACCCGAAAACTTGTGTTGTAAAACCCCAAACAAGGTTGGATTCATTTGAATTTCCACCTCTTTCAATGGTGCACTCGCGAGCTAACAAGGAAAGACGGGTCCTTCCAGTGGCGTAATCCTTTGGCTAACATCTGGGGGGGGGGGGTACGTGGTAGAAATGGTCCAGTTATAAGGGAACTCAAAGGAGGAGTAGCCCCTGAAATCTTTACCAAACATAGTAGGAGTGAATACTCCTATAGGAGCCTATCCAACAACAGTAACCATCAATGACAAGAAAGAGGAACGAAGAAGTTGCCCTGTTCAGACAATTTATCCAAGGACAACACCCAACTACCGAAAACCTCAACGATAAGAATGAACACAGCGGCAGCAAACGAGTGAGTGTTACCGATTTGTTTCTTCCTCAAGCCGACTCCCGGCTTTTAGGGTGAAAATGTGAGGCAGTCAACCGTAATGTGGGCGCAGATCAGGAGGTCCGGCCGATGACGACGGGTGGGAATAACTCATCGCCCCCTGCGGGATTACGCCATCAGCCGACCTCGCGTTCCCACTACAGCATGTGGCATCGCGCCGCCATACACACTCCTTATCCCTGAGACGGAGTAGGCGTGGCATTTGGAGAAGGCATAAATGGGTTACTTGTGGGGTACTTCAGTTTTATGCAACTGCCATCTTGTTCCATGTTCAACAGAGACACGAGCACAATCGTGTCAAAATGAAAATATCTCTCCAAAAGCACAGCGACCAGACGTTTGGTTGAAGTAACCAGCCACGCCTACCGCATCTCAGGGATTTCGAGTGTATAGGATGTGCTAACCCAGACTATACAATCGCTTCCTGAAAAGTTGCATAGCCGCATCCTATTCAGAAACAGATGGATTCATCTCCGCACTACAAATGGAGAGATGAAATGCCCGTGTGGTCAAGGGAAAATCTGGTCCAGGGAAGTGTGACGCAGCAATTTTGCGTCGCTACCCTACCACCCACGTTGTTCCTGGGTGCACTGATTTTGTTCTTGTTAATGCCGCGCAAATAAGCCACTCGCCGCGCAGTCTAAAACAGTGTTTTGATTCCAATTACCGCATATTTATCGCGCGCTACGAGTATAAACGCTGCGTAATTGTGTTTATCCGATTAATTTCAGGAATACCAGGCCTTTCACAGAACCTCGGCGTATTGGCAGGTAAGTGAAGCTAGCACGAAGTCTAAATCAAGCAAATAGAAGAGATATCTGTGTGTAGTGTGATAAACATTGGGCACAACTAGGGAGTTGTTTCGGGCAAAAACCTAGTTTCCTTGAGAATTTTTTCTGTTGTTAACTCATGGTCTTCAGAAGGAATGTTACTACTATTAGTCGTCGAGTTAACATTAAGTCAAAAATTATATTTGAAAACCATACAGTACTTGTTGGAGCGCTGAGTAGCCCTAGTACGACGCCTGCCTATATCCGTCGATCCCACCCCACAGAACGAAAGCGACTGGTGGGAAGCGCCAAGCCATGCATTCAAGAATGCTACCAGTCTACGCTCCTTTAGGCACTATATATCGAACAAAAGCTCTAGAAGCATGTCTTTCGTTTCGCCTATTCCTCAATGCCTAAGCTTAAGGAAAAGCGAAACAAAGGTGGGGGAAGCACGTGGCGAAGCGAGTATGCCACGCAAATCTGCCTGTCTGCGTCCTCTCACCGAGACAGTATCTAGACCTATAGTGTCCAGGCTATAGTGTCCAGGTTCTCGCATATTTCTTTAGGTAATCAAGTGACTAAACTAATTTTGAATCGGTTCCCTCATATTTCTTGGAGTAATCGTAAACCGAAAATGAGGTTACACTCACTCCTGAACTTCGAAAAAGCTGGACAGTGACACGCAGGACAAGACAAAATGTAGGGTAGTGACGCAGCCGCGCGCACCCCCCCCCCCTCCCCATTCAGCTGGAATTAAATTCAAAAACCAACGCGCTATCAATGAACAACTTTTATATGGTATTTTATGACGAACGTGAAGGGAAACGTTATCGCGGACTTGGTACCGAGAAAACGCCATTGACTTCATCTGTGAACAAAAATTCCAGTGCTACGTATTTTTTAGCCCTAATGGGATATGTAGTTGTGATAGTCAAATTACCAACGACCGTTTAATTTCCATTGCTTTAGTGCAACATTTATGCCACGTAAATTACGATCTGAGGAACGAATGGCACTGAAGGATGCCATCCCGATACTCACACCCGAGAAGAAAACGGCAAGTTTTAAGCCCATTCGACCACATCGGCATTGCAAAAGATGTAACCTTGAACAAAAGTTTCAGATGAGGGAGAAGAGGGTTCAAGAAAGGGTTTAGGGGGATATATTTCGGTACTATTGAACTATTCCCTTGACTATGGGGGTATTTTGGAGCCCTGACTACAAATACGACGTCACTTTTTGGCGCTGGCGCTATTTGGCGCCACTACCTATCTCGCCAATATTGAAAACTTGTATACCGAGTATATTAACTTGCTGATCACGAATATGGCACTTTTTTGACGCAGCCACCATACAGTGACAATTTGGCTCCATCACCTTTCTCTCCAAAATCAGTGAAGACTTGCATACTGAGGTTCATTTACATCTCGATCGCGGATATGGCACTCACTTTTTTCCCTGGCGCCATTTGGCCCTCTGCTGAGGATAGGTTTGAAAGAAGAAATGGTTTCCTTCAGACCAGGCTTAAACTTGGCAGAGAACGGCTCGCAAACAGTGTCACATGTACCTTCTCCCCCCCCCCCC